ACAACCCTCACACAACCCTCACACAACCCTCACACAACCCTCACACAACCCTCACACAACCCTCACACAACCCTCGCGGCGCTTAGCTTAGCTTAGCTTAGCTTAGCTTCCTGCTTGCATCTCGAGCTGCCTACTGGATTTCGGTGACATGGGACTGTGTATGGTCAGTGCCCCCCTTTGTGGGGGGGGGGGCTCAGACCGCATCTCTGATGTATCGTTTCGCACCATCTGTCTCCACCCTCGGTCGCCCTGGCAAATGTGTCCTGTGGCACAAATGACACCCAGACCTACCTATGCTTCCGTGTCTTTAAACAGGTCAAAGGGAGAGAGATGAAGGGACTCTCATACACGGCCATGGGTCTTGCAGTGATTTCTGGGTTTATTACCAACCTATTTCAGTGTTTTTCATATCACTCGGGCTACCTAATTCCACCAGTATCCAGGAAAATGATTCAGTGAGCAGCTGGTTGTACTGGTTATACTTAATAACTCAGGCACCATCGTCTTGTTTAATCACCCATGTCCAGATGTACACTAAACAGATCACCGCCTGATAGAGCTTTGGCATGGAATCACAGTGGTCCGGGCAGATAATCACCGGCTGTGGAATTCCCTATTCAGATGACTCTCGTGATGCTAGCTGGTGATCTGATCTCTCCAAACTGTGGTCAGTGTGCGTAACAAAACCCCAGGAACAACGACAGGAAATCAATTGTTCTGCTGAAGTCAGAGCCTGCTCTGATTTTAATACAAAAGCTAACAGCCTGCCGATAAAGTCCCCTGGTAATGCACATTTTAAACAGTGCCACATGGTGTACCAATGATCCATCAGGAAAATGAAAACAAAACGCCGTAAATCTGTACTGTAAATCTTCCCATTGGATTCCTCTAAGGAGGAGCGTGGGGGATATTTCCCGTGGCATCTTCCCCGGTGAGAGGTATTTGGAGGAGGGCTTGCTTAACTGAATTTCAAGCTTTATAACACCTTTAAACAGCGACTCTGTGAGTCTGAGTCTGCCTCTCTACACTTTGGCATGTCCATGGAAGGAAAAATAAGGCAGTGAGAGACCACAGGGACTTGGTCTAAAGAGACAAAGTGATCTCCAGTAATAAATGAGAATATCACAGCTAATTAAGTGACAGGGAAGAGTGTGCGGAGACTCACCCCGTTCACCTTATTTATTCAAAACCGCCACTGTAATCAAGCTACCAGGGGGAGTGTGAGACATTAGCGAAAGGCACCCCAGGTGAAGATGAGGGGAGGGGGCCCAGGGCCAAAGCCCGTCATGGGCAGCCATTCCATGCTCAGGGCCAAACTGATGCTGTCAGCCCTACATATAATGTTCCATATGGGAGTTGGAATTATTGATGAGGACATTGGAAGCATGACTATGAGGGCTGACTGAGCCAGGACCTTACTATGCACATCTGTGACATTCCCCTTTGGGCAAAGTTCTCCAGGTGTCAAACTCCGCTGAAGACCACTGAGAATTGTTTTGTGGCTCCAGCATAAGGTCCTGGCAGGGAGACTCGGTCCTTCTGGCCCTCTCTTGGGAAGCAGCCTTAATTAGACCTGAGTGGCCACAGCCCATTCCACAGCAAAGCGAGGAAAACACGGGTGCGACAGCCACTCTTTGATTGGCATAGCAGGAGCAGTTGCTAAGAAGCGCCTTTATCCTTGAGCACCAGAGGAGTAATGAAATCACAAATGTTTCTTTGATGTTCAAAAGCTGCCCCCTCCCCAAAACAATGACAGTATTTCTGCATAGGCTTCCTTTGGCTAATTAGTATTTTATCCCTGGGGAGGAATCAAAACAAACAGAAAAAAAATTATGCCGTGTGCACGCTATCCCTGACAGAACACATAACAGAATACAGAGCAGGAAGATTTTATTTTTATTAATAAGATGTGTTTGAGCCCACAGATCAATAATGGAAAATGAAATTGCCGCATGAGGTCAACATGCCCCAGACAGACGACTCTTCTAAGTGAGAACCCTGTGTTCTCAGCACCGTGAATTAATGGTATCTAAACCTGGGAGTCCATGTGACATTTCTGCATTTGCTTGGTGCTTAGGCCAAAACATGATGTAAGCCTGCCCTCAGTACACGCAAAAACAATAAAAATAATACATTAAGAAGATCATGGCAGAGGACGTCGTGTGGTATGATGCTGTGAAGGGATCGATATTTTCTCTGTTCTTCCACAAAAAGCCAACACGCATGTCAGATGCCCCACAAGCCCCAGCTGAGGCCTTAGATGGCGACGCGGGGGAGGGACGGCCTCAGCTGTGTGCACAAATTCAGAGTTTGAAGTGAAGCTTCAGAACGTCACTGATCACTTCTTAATCAGCATTCAGGAGGGTATAATGGCCTTTTAAATCTGATTAAATCAAATGGGAAATTACATTTAGGAATTTACTTTAATGTCTTGTGAGTAACACCAAGGCAAACACTGTGATCTTTGTTGGGGTTAATATTTGGGACATAGATTCTTCCATGATGACCAAAATAACAGTTTCCTCTGTATATGTTCTGAATACAAATGTGAGAATAAAAAAAGGCATTGGGCAGCAGCGGAGGTTAAGATAAGCTCGTCATATATGTTCCTTTGCTTGTCACGTCTCAAGACCCAAACATTACTTCTCACCCTAAAAAATGTAAGATTTTTCTGTATCTTGGTCCTAATACGCTTGCCATGAATGACTGAATATATGCTCTAGTTTAATTAAATATAATTAAACTAGAGGTGGGCTCAAATATCAAGCACAGTTTTGTTTATTCATGTCAATACTTTTTACATATATTGACTTAATACAAACATTTAGGATTTTATTGTTCTCCTGTGTGTGACACAGATACAGGGATTTTAGGGATAATGATTGGCTCCGCTTTGAGAGTCCAATAGAATTTGGACCCGAGGCTGCGGTCATCGATGGTGTGGAGCGCTGACGGAAGCTGCCATAAGGAAACCATCTTTTGACATCACATTGGTTGGGTTCCATCCAAAAAGAATAAAGCAAACAATGCATGCCAAAATCAAGCTTGTTCAGCAGCCTGCACCTCACTCGCCTAATCCACAGAAAATTTGTCAACAGTGAGGCAGACATTCAAGAGAGCTATCTGGTGTGTCTGTCCCAGTGCCCCAGCCCTGATGTCCCCTCTCTCTGTCTGATGTCTATTCTGTGGCTGATTAAATAAACTTTGAAAGCCTCACACTGAAGACTCTACAATCAAGATAGACTTTGAAGGATCAAAGGTGAGCACTGCTTAAAGATAACCCTGAGCTAGTCAACAACTGGACTGCTTCCAAATTAGTGCCCTAATTGTTCCCTCACTGTCCACATCAAGCCAGTGTTTAATCATTAAAGGCTGGGGACTTGATGAGTAGGAAAATTTGTTTTGATTTAAAGAAGAAGGTATAATGTACTATATGTGCTATATAGATCAAATTAAGCAATGCTTTTTAAAAGGATCTTTAATTGCAAGCTCGTCTTCTTGTTTTATATTGTTACAAACTCTGAACAAAAGCAGAGTTGTTCTGCCAGACCCACAGCTGATGGCAAATACCACCTTCAGATGAACTCAGTGCAATCTACGGAAGAAAACAGACGCACTGCAAGGAAACCTTATCATGCAACACAAAAAGGACCCATAATTCAATTTAAAACCACTGCCTCGACCCACTGGACCCAAACATACTCAATAAAAGTGTATTTGAGTACAGCTTCATTTTCAGACCAAGCTGTAAGATAACAACTCTCAGCCATGCTCTGTGTAGAGAATGTGATTGTAATGGTCCAACCATAGCGAAAATAATCACGCTGTACAGCTGAATGACATCTTGGAAACAGCGGCAGCTTATATTAATGACATTTCTGACTATGACCGCAGCTGCTCAGTACCAGACACTCGGTGTTCTCTGACCTGTCAATTTGTGGTCCTTGTAGTAATGAGATTGATCTCTCTTCACTAAAAAAGGGAGAGACAAAAATAGTTGCACACACACAATCATTCCACGCCTCTGGAAAATGCCGAAATGGCCCATTAACTGCCTCTAAAACACATCAGAGCTTAAGTTTACAACTGCTCAGGGATGACAACACTTCCGATGGACATTTGCATCTGTAAATTCTGCAGTGCAGCCTCCATGGTGGATTTATGCCTCTGTGTTTATGGGTGTGTGATGATCTTACACACTGTGGATTAATATTATGCTCTGTCTGTTCCCACGACTTTACATGTTACATCCCATTGTATTAAGTAGATTTTTCTACACTTACGGCACAACACTGTGTGAATGGTGAAATACACTGCTCTGTTATGGATTCTAACCAAACTGTAACTCTAAGTCCTTGTGACAATCACTACTTTGTACACAGTTCTGTTAAAAAACTCTTCCACTCTCCTCACTGTGTTCAGAATATGAAATTATTTTTAATAGAAAGAGTTCCTGGCAGACTACATTTTATGACCATTTGGTTGGCTCACAATCTTATGCTCAGTGTTATATATTATTAATATCGTTTCTTTAAACCTCACTACTTAAAAATACTAATTATTTTATAATTAACCGTTTTGTGCATTAATATTATATTTAATAAAATATTTATCAAATAACTTCCATAAATATTTATGCCTTGTCTGCGGTATACCTAAAAAGGGTTTTTCTGTGAATTTCTGGCGGCTCTTGTCAACAGCTTTTATGGAATATTTCTGAGATGTGGTCAATAGCCTTTTTTAGGTGGAGCTTCCCTCTATTACCTAAGAGGGAGCAGGCGATCGCCGCTGTGTCCAGAATGCTTATCACGGTCCCTACGAACTGCTCATACCGTACAGACCTCAACGGGAGGGGAGGCTGACAGGAAGAGGCCCTGCTGCCTATTATCTGACCTTATCGGGCGGAGATACGATTGTGCTATAGGATTAACGAGGCGTCAATGGGCGTGGTCGTGCGCTTTAAAAACCAATCAAATTAGTCCTGCGCCTGCCGGCCGTAGGTGGGATTAGAAGATCACGAGCACTTCTGGGCGGGGTTATGACTTGGAGGTGTGGTCTCAGCCGGAAGTGCCTCGCGACTGGTCTGGCTGTCATTTAGCCTCGGTGGGCTCTGAGGGGTGAGGACTGTAGTAAAGACGCGCCTTAGATGGGAAAATAAATTAATAAATCAGTTATTCCTGAAAGCAAAGCAGGTCAGGCGCTGTACGGACATGAAATCAAGCGAGAAACATATCTGACGAACTTATTGTTGGTTTATTTTTGGTTTAAATCCGAGGAACTGGCTGGCTAACGTTGCCAGTTAGCTAACCAGCTAGCTTTGTGAAACAGTTTAAAAATACGACACGGCTCTGTCACCGGGCAGGGACGACACGGCCGAACGACGAATAACCGTACATTTTATTTTTTTGGTTTAAGACTCAAGCCATAAGGAAACACACCGCCGCTGGCCGCGTAGAGAGCTTCATCCGCTCAGTCCGAAACGAATCTCGTCGGAGACGTCGCTCTGGAAAGAGGGTAACTGGCTTAGGGTGAAAAGTCACGAGAAAACCCGGCGAGAAGCTGGTCGAGATGCGTATATTTAGCTAGCGAAGCCCCCATAAAGATAACGACGAAAAACAGCTAACTGGCCCGAAGCCCGAGCAAGCAGAAGACGCCATCAGCATTTCCCTGTTGAAATGGTAGAGTCTGGATAAGGTGTTGGGTAAAAAGGGAAGAGAAGTCGGAAGGTAACATTATTGCTCTCCTGCTTTTTTTATATATCAGTATTTACCAAAGTGAATATCTGTGGACTGTGTGACGCAGAGATAACACGTAATGTACTAGCACGGCGTTTCGAGTGTAATTAATGCGGCACTGTTTTACTGGAAATGTTGTAATGGGATCGTGGGAGCTGCTGCCCTTAAATGTCAGTGGGATTGTCAGGCTGTTCAGGCAGCACTGCGTTACATTTAACTTGGTTTCACTGACATCAGTAGGCTAATCTTAAGTAACTCACCAGGTGAGTCGCTGGCTGATTGCATTATACACATTTTCAGACATAAGCTTTGGTTATATGACATTATGACTTTATCACTTTCTTCTCCCCTTCTAGGAAAAAAAGAAAAGCAATAGTTTTAGGGGGAGAATATACTGGAGAACATAAATGGGGGATTACGGTTTTGGAGTCTTAGTACAGAACAACACCAGTAACAAGTCAGGTTTTCCAGTAAGAATTCACCCACATCTGCAGCCCCCACATCATCAGAATGCATCCCCAGGTCCTGCATCCTATATAAATAACAGCACGCCTGCCAATGGCAGTGGCACTGCCTCGGCCTGGCTTTTCCCCCCGGCGGTGGCCCACGGCAACATACAGGATGAGATTCTGGCTTCAGAGAAATCTAAAGCTCAGCAACAGGAAATACAAGAACCACAGGAAAAACAGCAGCTGTCCCCGGGCCACCAGGAAACAAGCCTCGTCTCTGAGCTCGAGAACTCCCGATCGGAGGAGAGCAAGGGGGAGAATGGCTCGGCTGAGAGTGCCAGTGGCAAGGAGAAGCTCTGCGTGGACTCCCCAGTGCTCGCGGGGTTTGATTATCAGGAGGCACCAGGCCTGGGGACCGCTGCCCCGTCCAGCATGTCCTCCTCTTCCTCCCTGACCGGTTTTAACAGCTGGTCGGCTGCTATCCCGCCCAACCCCTCCCCAATGATGAACGAAGATGTCAACTTCTTCAACCCCGCCGCCTCGGCCAACAGCGGCCCGCTGCTCTTCCAGAACTTCCCTCACCATGTCAGCCCAGGCTTTGGGGGCAGCTTTTCGCCGCAGATTGGACCCATGTCTCAGCACCACCCACCGCACCCTCACTTCCAGCACCAACAGCATCGGAGATCCACCGCCAGCCCCCACCCTCCTCCGTTCCCCCACAGAAATGCTGCCTTCAACCAGTTGTCTCATTTATCCAACAATATGAACAAGCCCCCTTCTCCGTGGGGTGGCTACCAGAGCCCCTCGCCATCACCCTCCTCCACCTCCTGGAGCCCTGGGGGTGGCTACGGCGGCTGGGGGGGCTCCCAGGGGCGAGAATACCGCAGGGGCCTCGGGGTGGGAGTCACACCCCTCAACAGTATCTCGCCGCTGAAGAAGTCGTTCGCCAACAATCATGTGCCGTCGCAGAAGTATTCCCGCTCCAGCCCCGGCTTCAACCCCAAGCCTTGGATGGAGGACAGCCTCGGCCGGAATGAGAGCATCTTCCCCTTTCAGGTGAGGGTTGACCCTATTGGTAAAATAAGGGGACAGACGAACTCGCCTGTGGATTATTAAAAAATTATACGTCTACTGACCTGGTAACTGCTTAGCCTGGTCTTATTTTACTATTGGTTCCCCCCTTTGGTCTCACTGGGGAGAGGTGATGCAGTGTTGGGTCGTATCGGCATGCTCTACTTGTCAGAGGCCTGCATGAGTAACGTCCCATGAGCCACCGCAGTGTTCTAAGCGCTATCTAGCCGATATAAAATGACAAGGACGAGTGTGTCAGGGGCAGCAGATTAACTGCATTGTCTGTGGCAGCTCTGCCGATAGCAGAAGTAAGAATCATGCATGCTTTGTGTTTTGCGTTGATGGTGTGCTGAAAATGAAACTGGAACTGTTGTGGGTGCGATGCAGCCGTGGATCTCAGCCGTAATGTAATCCGTCATTTCCTGTAGCTTGGGTGGAGGGGGATCGCTTTTCCCCGTGTGCCCCAGCAGTGAAATATGGCTGCTTGGAAGCGTGTGGTAATATGTACAGGTTATCGATCTGGGGTCGCTGCAAGGTTGGAATGGTGAAGGGTAGGGGGGTTATTGATGCCCTCATAAGAGCTGGCCCCTTGGCCATGACAAGCCCTGTCCACATCTCATTCTCCTCTTAGATCCTCTGCACTGTTGCCCATAACTGCCTGGCTTAGCCCTGATTTAAAAAAAAACACAACTGGGCTCTCCTGCAGATCTTTTTTTTTTAAGCTGGGCCTGATAATGGGATTGTCTTGTGTTTGTATAATTGGTATCGTGGCTTCTTAGACAAGGAATGAAAAATGGATTTGGCATCTGCCTTAAGTTCATGGAATGGATATAGAGAAAAGGATTTATGTAAAGGTGTAGTCGAACCTGGGCCTTTTGAGGTTGAGGACTGACGTGCCCCCTGCAGTAACTTCATGGAAACGTAGCTTATTGTGCCCGGACCCCTTTCTCAATCAGATATTGGTATGATGATTTATCTGACAGATTTTTCCAAGGTGACTTGCAGCTTCTGTGTTATGACGGAGCCACAATTGGTCACTGCGCTGTGCCATTCAGGAAACACTCTTGGTGTCCGTTGAGTCCAGGTTTCATTTCTCGTCCAGTCCCCCTGAAGAATAAATACCTTTCAGGTGGATAGAACTCTGCTTTGTGTTGTCTGTTTTCCCAGCTCTGCTATGTTAATATTTACACTTCAGAGCCATGCCGATATTTGCTCAGATGTCCTGGTTCTAGAGTTTTCTGTTCCTAATTTTGATAAAACTTGATTTACCAGCAATAGGTACTGCTGCTCACTTTTGGTTGCCGCAGAGATGCACATGCATTGGTTCCTTTTCTGGGATGAAAACTAGGAACAGGCTATGGATTGTCTGAGAGTGTCTCTCTTCTCCCTGGGCTGCACTGGGACTTGCAGCGTTAAAGATGCCCCCTGCTGTTTACAAGCTGCTTAATGGGGACTCTGAATGTGGAAAGATAGTTTTGCCAGGGTTCATGCTGTTTGCTAACATGCAACACCCGTCATTCGAATGGCGCCCCCTGCCTGTTGTGCCGTTTAAGCCTAAAGACCCTCCAGTGACCCAGCCCTTAAACCCTGTTTGGTGCCTTTCCCACATGCTCTCTGCTGTATTTTATTGCTTATGTTGATTTGAGTTATTTAGAATAATTCATATCAGTGATGTCATGAGCTAATATCAAAGATCGGAATTGGGGCCGATCCAGGCATTTTTTTAAATTGATGAATTTCGTTTCCCATGTCTGGACAATTTATCTGTTGCATAGATTAGGCACTTTGCTGGAAACTATCGCTATATCAGCTGTATGGAAATTCTTCAAATCGGAAACTCAAAGTAGCCCATCAGTCACCTGCAATGTTTGTGGAGCTGTCCTTTTGAGAGGAGGTACCAGCAAAGTGTTGTTTAATACAATGAATTTAATTAGGCATTGCAGAAACATCATGAGGAAGAATACTGCGGTATTGCGAGGCTTACTCAGAGAATGCACCGGTGCCTGCTGAATGTGTATGCATGTTAAAATATTTATTAAAAGATTAGATCGAGAATAGGAATCTGCAGATACAGATATTGAATGGATCGGATCGGATTGGATTGGTCTATCAAAATGTGGGTGGGGACTTTGCAAATTCTTATGTTAAGTCACTTGCCTCCGTCAAGCAGGCACTTCCTATTAACCATAACGCAGACCACCGTCTAGACTCTGTGCAAGCTGCTGTATGTAAAATCTAATATAATTAACCAGTGGCATGGACTGAAAAATAAGGACAATAGTCACGGTTATGCTGGTGGAACTGAAAATGCAAGAGAAGCCTTGCCAAGTGTTGACTGTTTATTTTAATGAAAGTGAAAATATGGCTTCTTTGTACCAGGCTGCCAGCAACCACAGACTGTCAGCCTGTGTATTTTGTTTAAAAAAGCTGCCTGACCTGTACATTTTTATTTTTTATGTTTGGCATGAAACTGGTTGCTTGAAAATGGTAGATTTCTGAGACAAGCGAATATTGCCTTGGATCAAAATCGCCTTCGGTGAGTCCTTGCAGTCATGGGTGGAGGTTGTTCAACCACTTTTTTTTTTTTTTTATCGGAATGTGACTCACGCACAGCAAATGCACATGTCACTTTCACTGTCTCTCTGCTGGAAAGGGATCCCTGGGAGAAATTATCTTGATTTGTAGAGGCTTATGTTTCTCAGGCAGGGTGAATGCTCCCCGTCCTCGTGTGAGAAAGGGATTGCGGCATTGGCTAAGCTGCATTATCCGGCCTTTCCTCACTGACAAGGTCAGGCTACTGTCAAACATGTGACACAGAGTCCTGTCCCAATTAAGTCTGGTATCTGTCTGAGGATGCATGGTACTTACTGGGGTCAGTGGCCCAAAGAGAAGCTTTTCTCTGTTTTCAGGCTGTAACCTCATGCTAGTCAAATATCTATATAGAGGTGATTAACAGTAATGTGTTTGGTGAGCCCCACAGCTAAGTGTGAAAAGCTTGTACTGACTGTGACCCAGGAAGGAGAACTTTGTCACAGATATAATCGCAAATCCACAGTAAAGCCATACTTAACTGAGTTGTTTCTCAGAGGAACATTTTGCTGAGCTGGAGAAGGCCTGTTGACTTTCTGGTTTGTTCCCAGAGCTGCCCCTGACAGCAAATCCTTTACTGTACCTTGTCTGTTATGCCAAAGGGCCTGTTTTGGTATTCCTTGTCCTTAGATAGCATGAACATGGCTCCCCTGTTGAGCAATGGCAATACCGAAGTTCTCCAGGTACTCTCTGTGGTTGCCTCGCGTCCAAATGGTGCTGACTTCACCAGTCTAGAATCCATTACTTTATTTTTGTTTGTATGTCTCTCTGTCGTGGGAGATGGTGTGAGAGAGACTTGCCAGCTGGCGGGAAGTCAGATTTAGGGATGTAACAGTGGGCCCGGTGATTATGCAGTCAGTGTATACCGAGTGGAAAGGGAAGACCCTGTGAACACTAATTTGCTTTTATTTTACTATTTGTATCATGCTGGTTTTGAGATTTGAGTGCATATTTGAGTTCTCTTTTGGGGTTTCACCTTTTTAAGTGGTCTTTTACACATTAATTAGGACAGTGGTTCCCAAACTTTCTCCGCAGGGCCCCCCTTTTAAGGATGGGAACAAATGCAATTACAAAATACAAATGGTGCAATTTCACCACTGTGAGAGGAAAAAGAGCAATCAATTAACAATAAAAGTCCAGCATTAGTTTGAAATTATGCAAATGCAGATTTAACATTCCTGTTAATATTCATTAGCGTACACAAATTAAAGTTTGTCTTACGATTACCGCATTTTGTTTTTGATGATAACTGCAGCTTTCAGCCTATACTATAACACAAAACAACACTAAATCATACCCATTAACTGATAGTCTCCCTGCACTTTTTTTTAGAAAATTTTAAACCTCATTTTTCAGGATTTATTGGACTAATAACACTCACCTTGATGCCACTTCCAGAGTGTAACTATGGGTGCGTTTGACTGTGTAGCCTCTTAAAGCGCTGGCTTAAAGCAATGCATTCTGGTCCTGACGCAATGCACCATGGTTAGATTTTTTTGTCCGGCGCTGCAAAACGTCGTCACGCGTCACCATGTCACATGGTACAAAAACCTCGCGAGAGCAATACGGCTTAAGACAGATTGTACAGCACCTCTCAGCCGACTGAACAAACTGGAACCGCCTCTGTGACGAGACAACTTTGCCCTTATTGGCTGAAGAACGTAACGTTGTATGATGTTTGTATCTCAGGCAGTTCCGATGCGTTATCTGCTATTTCTCCTGAATATCACGTAAAGCAGTGAGAACTGGTTTTCAGTTAATTTACCTGGTAAAATAAAGTTTCAATAAATTGCAAAAATGTTCTAATTGTACACGTAAGTTAGTGGTTTATTTTTTATTGTTAGTTACTGCTTTATTTGTTTAATCGTCCATTCTGTGAAGAGATTATTTTATTGTGGCACATGCCCCTGAGGCTATCCCATTGGTGCGCCCCTCTGAAATACCTCTGCGGCCCCCCAGTTTGGGAAACACTGAATTAGGGTAAGATACGTTTTCCCAGGTAACAGATATTAGAGTTAATGCAAACTGGCAATGAGGAGCATAAAAGCTGTGTGTGTGCCTAAGTTTGCAGGTTTGCAGTGTTGTGTAGGATTCCTCCTGCAATTATGCTAATCGGCATCTCTGAATTCCCTGTAGTGTATGTGTGGGTGTGGGTGGGTGCGCTGGTGTGGGTGCATGCGGCCCAGGGTGTACCCCTTCCCTGTGCCCCAGGTGGCCTGGTTCCTCATCCCCATGTACCTGTGCAGGATTAGCAGAACTTTGGATGGTACATGTCGGATGGGTAAAACCTCCAATGGATCTTTGTACTTGCTTGAATTCTTTTGTGTTGAAACTAAACCCAGGAATTTACTGTTACCAGCTTGTAAAATCTTGGAACTTAGCTTGTGGGTGTGATGGGTTGTCATTGCACTAATAACAGATGTATTGCTGAAAAATGGAACTCTTTGTGTCTGGGGTCTATAGTTGCATTTTATGCATGTTCGGCATATAGACCATAGGACTTTTTTTGTACCAAACCTTGACTTTTCATTCAAATTAGCATACACACAAAGCCATTTTTCATGTTTCAGTATAAAAGGGTCGTTATTTAATAAGCATTAGCATTAAATTGTACTAAATGGCACGCTGCTTTCTCCAGGAGTAGCAAATTGAGAAGCAGGGAAGGTGTTTGGATATTGCTAATGGAAAAGCCCAAAGCACTTTACCTATCCAGCACTCAGCTGTGTGTCTTCAAAAGGGAACAGAAGACTGAGAAGGTCTCTTCATGATAGATTTCACTCGGAGGCTTACGCCACTGCTGCATCAGTCTCCCTGCCTCCCATAACCAGTGGTCTAACCTCAACCCTACTCTTTTGTTATCTGTCAAAAATGTTGAGCCTTTTACATTTCAGAATACAAACAAAATTAATGGCTTTTTTTGTGCTTGTTTGCTTAAATCACTCTTTATCATTTGATTTGTATGAGTCAATTTTAGAATTAAAATTCACCATTTGATTTCCGTTTGCTGATTTCGGAGGTTTTGTTTGTTTCCCTGACAAAACTGTTCCTATTTGTATTTCCAGCTGTGAATTCTGGTGAGCAGGTTGGATCATGGGTAATTGGCTGCCAGTATGGCTTTGGGCACACTTGGTAGTTTGAGTTTTGTAGGGGCTTCTGTTCTTGTACAATGCTGCATGCACTGTGCACATTACAGCAGTGTGTAGTCGTGGGTGTTAGTGTGGTCACCTGATCATCGCCTCTGCCAATTTTGCTGATGGTTCCCAGAAGATCCATGAGTCAGGCGAGCTGCTTGATGTTTATATATTTAGACTGGGAGTGACTGTCTGACTGTTGGTGAGGTTTGAGTGAAAGTGCGGGGATGTGTATAGGACTGAGAGATGCGAGCCGTCCCCTTTACAGACGCCCCTGTACCCCTTAGACGTTATCATGCCCTTCATTCTCTGATGCTAAATTTCACATAACTGGGCCCTGTGAATGAATCCACTTGCAGAGGGAATTTTTTCACCTTGGCTAGATTGATTTAAAGGCACTGCTGTTGGGTAAGAATGTACAGCATATAGTTTGGATGCAGCAGTAGATCTGTGGCATCCATATTTCTCAGGGTGTAACAGTAATATTTGGCTGTTTAGCAACCAGAGATAGCCTGCTGTGTTGTTGCTTTTTAAGATAATGTGCTTTAAAAACGATGCAGATTCTGAAAATTTGAGTAAAATGAATATTGTGAGTGTGAAGGGAGCTCCAGATTGGTGTCTCCTTGCCGCTGAACATTCTAATCATGATCATCAAGCACTGGATTCGTATGGCACCGTGTTGTTGTCAGTTTTTAAAAAATGGGGATAGATAAGGGGATGATAAGTTGGGACAAGGCAGCATTTGCCAGCAATCCAGTCTAACAACAAAAACTTGCTTCTGTGCGTATTTAAATTGCAGAATTTAAAATTGTGGCGTTTTTGAGAAACTGGTACCTTCTCCTACTGAATCTCTGTTCTACGTACAGTGCATGTAAACCTCCTTAGAATGACATGAAAGGCTTGGTGAGATGATTAAGGTCTACTCACACGCAATGAGCCAATTGCATCGTTTTATCCTCCTCCATTTTACCTAGTTGTGTCATTCAGTCCTCCTTGGGTGGCAGTACATTGCAGGATGTATATGGTAGCTCATGTTTTACTACGTAATAAATATGTTGATTATCACTCTAGCAGTACTGTGCAGTCACAAGGTTTCTGTGCTCTCGTGTTTGGCTATCAGGCCAGGCTGATGTATGTGTGAAAAGGTTATAAACCCATATTACACTGGTGTAGTGTTTGATTTGATTATAAGCACTTGTTCACACCAGAAAGCTTGCAAGTGTGATGCTGTTGCCGTTCGCCCTTAGTGGTACGAGAGCTCATTATCGTTCACTTTGATGAGCCTAGGTGGTTTTGTCTTTGCTCAGCACGGATGCGCACTGACTTAAAACACTCTCCTTCCTCCCAGCAGGAACGTAGCAGGCCGTTCGATGGCTTCAGCATGCACTCTCTGGAGAACTCCCTGATTGACATCATGAGGGCTGAGCAGGACTCCCTTAAAGGTAACGTCTTAATCGCATCTTCGAATGTGCTCGCGCCTTGGACTGGGTTATAGGGAGCGCGTGTAAAACAGATCAGCTCCTGAGTACGCTGGTAATATAAAACACCCTCTTTCTTTATGTCTGCAGTATTCTAGAACAAGTCGGAGTAATTTTTTCACTGACATTCCACTGGCTATGTAGAAACTCTTCAGAGAAACACTTAGAACTTGATTATTAAAATATAAAAATTTTCAAGAGTAGAACCCAGCTTTTTTACTTTGCCCTGCTTAGCTTTGTGTTTGAACCCTTGTTAATAGGAATGGGAGGAATTTCTATGTGCTTGATATAAGATTAAAACAATTGAAGTTTTAACTGCAGAACACTTTTAGCTGTTCCACTGAGAATCTTCCTGGGTTTTTCATGTTGAGGATGGGATCTGTCCTCACACACTGTGCTGCAAGTACGTTGCTGCATCTTGGTGCGTGTCGCTGCATTTTTATCTAAGATCTTAGGTGGAGCCAACCACAGACACAAACCTCAAGTAGGAATTAGAAAATCTTGCCCGAGGAAAGTGTGAGTTGAAGAATTTATGTGAAAATATGTGTAGCAAAGAACAATGTGCTTATCCATGAGCTCCTCCCCCTCGGCCGTGTCCTCGGGAACACCCCGACCCACCAGCCCTGAAAATAGGAGGCTTCTCACATGACGAGCAGCACCATGCTTTCTGTTAAACGAAGAAGGCGAAATTAACGAAGGCTGCTGGTGGAATGTGCAGTCACGGCTACTGCGGGTTTAAAATAACGTGCCCACCTGCCCCCTCCTCTATCAGCATGGTACGGGACCCCCTCCCCATCATGGAAGGCTTGGAGCCTGTCTGGATGATACAGCTGAATGCTGAATTTGGACTGGATCTCTCGCCGGTGTAATGGGAGGGACGACACAGAAATGGTTCAGTGGCTCATAAATCTCATCTCCAATCATTTACTACCAAAATGAAATGAATTATAGGTCATTTCAGCTTTGCCCCACCTACATCATCGTCATGGTGACAGTGGGCTCTCTGGCTCTTTGGGGAGCGCCGCTTAGAGCAGGCTATCCGAGCTGGGCGGCATGTACATGTCCAGCCTGTATCGCTGCCTCGCACCTCCCTCCATGCCAGTAAGTGTCTGGTGCCTGCAGACTGTCTGTGTGCCCCTCCTCCTCCCCCTTAGCAAATATGATCCCGATGTTAACATTCGTTTCTTCTGAACGTTAATCTCCATGTTCCCCTGTGTGTTCAGCTTTGCTCCCAGAGGGATGTCTTCCTCGCTATATCACCCTTAACTCTTTCAGATCTGACTTCATATCTCCCACTCCTCCTTCCCTCTCGCTTGAAAGCTTGTCACTGTGCAGATTTTCCTTTTTAGTCAATTTCAATAACACTCCTTTCCTCTTGCGTGCTGCCCGACTCTCGCGGTACCTGTCACTCTGATTTTCCTGTCCTTCGTTCCCGTGTTCCCAGTCTCAGGCTCCCAGCCTGTCTTCGTGACGAGCGTGCTTGTGCTCAGGTGCGTTTCGGGGCCGTTGCGCAGATATAAATCATCCTGGCGCTTTCGCTCTTCAGTCTGTCCTGCCTGCCTCTCGTCACACGCTCTCGCTGCTCCTGACATTTTCCTCTCGCTGATATACTGCCAACTGTTCCTCTTTTTTTTTTTTTAAACCCAGGAAGAATTATGGCATTATAATACTATTAGTTATAATATAATATGGAAAGTATATTATGTTCATAAAAGTTTAAATCTAGGCATGCAGTTTCAATGAGTACCAATTTTATCTTTGTTATATAATCTGAAGTATATAAAAAATGTTCTCAATAATTCTGTGAAAGTTTTTAATGACATCTGATCCCAGAATGCACCAGTAAACATATTTAAATTAGTTTTTAATGACATCTGATCCCAGAATGCACCAGTAAACATATTATCATTTTGAAACATTTTGCTTTTACTGCCACTTTCTCGTTCAGTCTAGTTAAAAATACAACAGTATTGATTGGAGGCCCTGTGCTCCTATTGAAGTAGCTCTGTGATGATTGGCTACCTTTGGCTGCCAGTCATCATGCCAGTGCTCCAGTTGGGCAGGATGAAGAGGTGGGGCTTCTGCTGCCCAGTGTTTTCTTCATAGGACTCCTGTGTTCACTGCAGGATCACTTCCTGTTATTACCACGGGCTTAGCAGACAGGCTCAGAAAGGCACATGTTAAATGGGAGATGTTTGTTTTTCCAGTGCCCTTCAGAATGGGCATTTGAAGAGCATCTATGTACTGCAGGGAAAATCATTAAAATAAAATAGGTGATGCTTGGTGTTTGGTTCACAGTGAATGCTATAATCTCCAGCTATTCCATGTTAGTTTGTCTTTTCTGCGCTGTAGGCCGCTTGGGGTTCTCTCACCCCGGGGGGGATAGCCCTTTACCCATAAATGGTAAGTAGCCTCTCTCTTGCTATGTCCTAACTAGTGAACAGGAAGACCCAGAGTCTTACAAACTAGTCAAGCAACATCTAGTGTTAGAGGCATTTTAACAAGGCATTTTGTTAGCCAAGTTAAGTCTTTTATGTTGTGCGTCTGCTCACGTATCGTCTGTTTTATCTTACATGCAGCGAGGAATTATGGCAGACGACGAGGTAAAGGACGCAGTGTTGTTGGGTGTCAGATACTATGATGGTTTCACATTTGCTGTGGTCGTGACCGTTTGCTCTGTGTCAGTCGAGGCTCTGCTGTGTCTGTGTGTGGGGGTGAGGGAGGGGGGTCTCGGAACACGCATGGGTCTGACACATTTGTGGGCAGTCTGCACCTACCTCTGTTATTATCGCAGTGTGTTTGCCGCTTCATAATAGCAGGCTACAGCCAGAGGGCAGCACTGTGACCAGGAAGTCCCATGAAGGGACTGACTTTGTTGGCTTTTGCCACACCCCACCATTGCCTGGCGTCTTGCAAGATTGGGGTCTGTCTCTAGGTTGTCGCCCTGAGATGAGGGGGCTGCGACCGTCCCCTCTGTAGTCAGCGGGATACCCCCTCTTAGCAGTTCAAACGCAGCCAGAAAATAGGGCAGCTGCCACCATCACAGGAGGCTTTCTGATGAAAAGCTTCTCAGAACTCCCAGGAGGAAGCTCTTTGTCTTGGCGTGTGACCGGAGCGGAAGCCCGGCCTGGTGGAGCTGCCTGACAGTGGGTGGGCCCTTCCCTTCCCCCCAGGTCACTCCTCTCTCTTCCCGATGGAGGACAACTTTGCAGACGACGAGCGCACCGAGCCAGCCTTGAGCGGCCTTGGCTCTCCTCACTGCTTCCCTCATCAGAACGGGGAGCGGATCGAGCGCTACTCCCGCAAGGTCTTCGTGGGGGGCCTTCCTCCAGACATCGACGAAGGTATACTGTGATTAGACGAGTGTTGGCATGCGTGAGTGTAACCCTGACTGGATCTGACTGCCTGATTGACCCCTCCCAGCTTCATGAAGCTGAAGCTTATTGTAGGCTCATTTTAAACGTCTGAGAGTCACTGAGAGTCAGCGAGTGTCAGGCGGCAGGACGTGCCGTGAAAGTGAGCAAAGGAAACATCCGTCCCACTTGTTGACCTTATTGTCTCACTCCAAGGTTAACACTGTCTGCATCGATATTTCACAAGAATCACTTCTAGGTAAAAGGAATTATAATGAATAATTTAGTAGAGGGAGGCTTGACAAACAGCCCTTTCTGTACCCCGTGTAAATGTCTGCATGACGTCTCCTTCCAGATGAGATAACTGCAAGTTTCCGTCGTTTTGGTCACCTGTTAGTCGACTGGCCTCACAAAGCAGAGAGCAAGTCCTACTTCCCCCCAAAAGGTGAGCCTTAAAGGACCGCAGTCCTGTGCAGCCTTAAAGGACCGCAGTCCTGTGCAGCCTTAAAGGACCGCAGTCCTGTGCAGCCTTAAAGGACCGCAGTCCTGTGCAGCCTTTAAGGACCGCAGTCCTGTGCAGCCTTTAAGGACCGCAGTCCTGTGCAGCCTTTAAGGACCGCAGTCCTGTGCAGCCGTCTGGTTCCCATCTCCTGGTTGCAATTGTACTTTTGCATGATGGCTTTTCTTTACCGACGTGGGGATGACGGGGGCCGGATGCTGCTTCTCTGGTTTCCCAGGTTACGCATTCCTCCTCTTCCAAGATGAAAGCTCAGTCCAGGCCTTGATTGACGCCTGCATTGAAGAGGACGGAAAGCTCTACCTGTGTGTGTCCAGTCCCACCATCAAAGACAAACCGGTACTGGTCCTTCCATATTAAACCCATCTGAGCTGCATAACTGTCCACTTAATAGGGTTGGATGTCTATACCTTCTATCTCAGCTGCCTCTGGAGCTCGCTGGCTCCACCTGCTGATGGTTCCTGCTGCTCGCATCCTTGTAGCCATTAGACGGAAGTGCAGGAGTTTGACATTCTCCGAAACGTTCTGCTCACGCCCCCAGGTCCAGATTCGTCCCTGGAATCTCAACGACAGCGACTTTGTCATGGATGGCTCACAGCCTCTTGACCCCAGGAAGACCATTTTTGTTGGGGGGGTACCACGTCCTCTTCGTGCAGGTAAGCGGTTGCATAATGGCGAGCGAGATGGGGGGGGGGGGCTCCTGTCATTCTACATACATCCTGTACCGATTAGCCTGAGGTTCCACAGCGACAGCAGTCCCCCCCCAGTGATGCTGTCTGAACCTCTTGTGATTTGGCCTGTCACGATAAGTTTCTGTTGGACAATGTATTGTCCTAAAAATAATTGTGATTAAACCATATTATTGTCAGTTTAAGACTGATTTATGCCACTGAACCTCCATGGTTCATTGGCCAGGGGAAAAGTGACAGGACGTCAAATTTGAAGAATGGTTGACTGAGAAAGTCCAGAGATACTGGCGTTTGTATGATTCTTCACTACAGGATTATAAAGACTCCCAGATAGTTACAAACCAAGATAAAATACTGTTGTACTGCAGTGCTATGTACCCATGTATATTCTTTCATCAATGTTATCTAGGGCCACTAACGACTATAATTCTATGGATTAATCTATAGACTAGTTTAATGATTGGTCGGTTAAACGATAAATTTTCTCTAAAAAATAAAATTTACCGTTTAACTGTAACTACATAGTGCACGGTTAGTTTTAGTGAAAATCTTATTCGTATAACGTCCACACTACGCTTCATGAACATGGTTATTAAGAGCAGCTTTGCTGTGCAGTGCCCCCCCCAGGCCTGCGTTGCGTGTGCCACAGCGCGCACGCTGTCACGTGAAGCACGAATCAGCCCTCAGCTTGGTTTACATCACACAGAGCAGACGGGAGGGCGGAAGCAGCATGACTAGCTGAAATGTTGGGGGCATTCATTCTTATGTAAACACAATTTGCCAGTATCGAGGTCAGAATAATACGACAAAATGAGGTTACGTCCTTGTATTGTGCGATAAGCCGATAGCATCATTATCGTGACAGGCCTACTCGTGATGCAGGCCTTGTGTAACGCTGGGTAATCTTGTGAAAACGGGGCCTGATAAAAAAAAAAATTTGTCTGGCCACATTCATGTAGCGTGTGTGTTTGCATCCTAACAGAGTGTTTTCATTAGTGCTCTACCCTGTTTCAGTTTGGAGATTATTTGATCTTGGTGTTGATGTCTGACTCAGATCAGTAGTTAGAAGCTGGGTGGACGTAAAACAGGTTAAAAAAGGACACTGTGGAGCCATCTTGACTAAATGACATCTGTGTCTTTGTGTACATCTCTGCATGTCTGTCCCTCTGTGTCTGCCTGTGTGTGTCTGCATGTCTATCTCTCTGCGTGTGTGTGTGTGTCTCTGTGTGTCTGCATGTCTATCTCTCTGCGTGTGTGTGTGTCTCTGTGTGTCTGCATGTCTATCTCTCTGCGTGTGTGTGTGTGTCTGTGTGTCTGCATGTCTATCTCTCTGCATGTGTGTGTGTGTGTGTCTGTGTGTGTCTGCATGTCTATCTCTCTGCATGTGTGTGTGTGTGTGTGTCTGTGTGTGTCTGCATGTCTATCTCTCTGCGTGTGTGTGTGTCTCTGTGCATGTGCACCCCCCCTCTCCAGTGGAGCTGGCTATGATCATGGACAGGCTGTATGGAGGCGTGTGCTATGCCGGCATCGACACCGACCCAGAGCTGAAGTACCCAAAGGGAGCCGGCCGGGTGGCCTTCTCCAATCAGCAGAGCTACATCGCTGCTATCAGCGCACGCTTCGTGCAGCTGCAGCACGGCGAGATCGATAAACGGGTGAGGCAGCCGCCCGCCGGCTAACTGCCGCTGCTTAAGCTGCCCTGCCCTGTATTTTCACTTTTGTTTTTATTTTCATCCTCTCCGCCTATATATAAAGCGGTTATTTTAGACGTGTTTGCTCCTCCTTCCCGAGCAGCACAAGCATGTGGCCGACTAACTGAGCTAATGCTAATGTTCGGCCCCCTGATGGAAATGCTGGGCTCGCTTTTATTTTGACGGCCAGTATCTTCCGTAGGAGGCTTCTGGAACATGCCGTGTTACTGTATCTCTCCAGCGGGGGAGTCAGTGCTCCTCAGGGCGAGACCCGCGGCCTGCTGCTATAGGGGGACTTCCAGCCTCTTCTGCATTTTGAATATGTTCGGTTTTGCATTTTAATCTAATGCTATTTAATCTAGCGCTGTTTTTTTTCTTTTTCCTGTTACGCAGATAAGTCACTTTTCCAAAGCATTTCAAAATTTCTAATTAAGCATTTTCAGAGGGACCTGCTGTTGAGCCTCTTGGTCTCTCATGATCTTTTACAGTTTGTTTCCCAGTAACCCACATGCTTTACGTAATTAAGACTTCTAGACAGTTGAGGGACTAAATTTTCAGGCTCATGTGTTTGAAAGTTTCTCTCTTCCTTGAAATGAGAACACGGGCGCTCTTCCAGCCCCCTACCCTGACCCGGCCCAAACCCGACTCGCCCATTCTCTCTTCCCAGGTGGAGGTGAAGCCGTACGTCTTGGACGACCAGCTGTGTGACGAGTGCCAGGGCACGCGCTGCGGGGGCAAGTTCGCGCCCTTCTTCTGCGCCAACGTCACCTGCCTCCAGTATTACTGTGAATATTGCTGGGCGGCCATCCACTCGCGCGCCGGCCGGGAGTTCCACAAGCCGCTGGTGAAGGAGGGCGGCGACCGGCCGCGGCACATCTCCTTCCGCTGGAACTAAGCAGGGGGCGCCATCGACACACTCGCCAGACGTCATAGAAACGCACTTTCTGTTGCAGGTTCCTTTTACTTTTTAATTGCGTGGTATTTAATTTAATCTCGAAGTACTTGCTTATTTTAAAACTGGAATTCTTTAGGGAGGCAGAATACATTTAGGAGTAATCCCATACCTTAGTTTCATTCCGTTTCGATTCACATGTCAGTGCACTCTTGAACGCATCAGGTAGATAATCAATTCGTCTAGTCTTCTCAGATGACTGCAATTGTTCCCCAACCCCATTTCCAGGATTTGTGTGCACGCTGTATGCAGAGTCTTCAGGCGTGTGCCTCGGGGGCGCCGTGTCCTTCCGTCGTAGGACGCACTGTCCATGTCATGGACCAAAGCTTGACAACGTTCAATGAAAAAGAAAAAAATAAAAAATAATAATGTCCCATAGGCTCAGACAGGTGGCCCTTTTCCACAGTCGATGGATGGCATGTCATCCTAATCGAAACCATAGTAACGCGATTCCATTACAGCTGTTAGCATTAGATGCCCCGTTTTTTGACATGCAGAACCTAATACCTCAAGCTTTGCTGCTAATCTAATGAGTAAGAGATAGATAAGAAGCTGCCCTACATCTCTCCCATGTGCACGTACAGCCATAATCCCCCAAACATGCTGACCCAATGGGAGACAGAAATGCCAGGTGTTTAGATGCTGCCTGGGTGAATTCAGTGTCCTGCGTATGGCATGTGCTGACCACTAGGATGCTCTGTATGAGCTCCAGTACTGCTTTGACCTGAAGGTCTTCCAGGTTGACCAAAATGTCTATTGAAACCCCATAAATAACACTAAAGGAGTTGTATTTCTGTATTCTGTGGGGGATTTGACTGTAAAACCCCGACTCTGTCTCTGCACCCCTGTATGCGTCCTGGAGCGCGTGGCGTGGTGGGTGGCATGGACAGATCCCCGGCCTGCCTGGCACACATGGTAAACGTCAGAAACTCCTGCCAAAGATGGCTTTGCAGCGTTGCTTCCCTCAAATCCTGTTTCATCGTTTCAGCTCTTGGTGTCTTACGAACATGAGATGGGCAAACCAAAGACTGGCTTCTGAGTGATCTGGGGCAGTCAGTGAGGTGGCCTTGCTTACACACACAGGTGCAGTTGCTCCCTTTCATTTCCAAAGGTGAAAATGGGGACAGGGGCTTCTAGACATGCCGATATTTTGGAGAACTTACCGTCACGCCATCACGCAGGCCTTGGGGAGGGGAATGAGCATGAAACACACTGAGCTGATGTCGGTAATTTCGGTAGTTTGTGGGTGTGCTTCCGCGTTACTCGTCAGGGATTTAGTGCTGAAATATCACTTTAGATACTCGTGATTAACTTCTCCTCGTATTGGCTTGATGGTGTCTCTGCTGCACAGCTCCTACCATGACTGACGTTCGTGGGTATGACAGGCAAACACTTTGGCAGTGGAACACCTATTTTGCAGACTATGCTGTTAACGAGATGAGACTCTTTTTCTACTACAAGGCCTGCTGAGCTTTTGGTACCGTGTTTTTTTAAGCAGAGTTATTTTGTCATGCACATGGACGAGTTTATTATGCACTACTTTTCTAAACTTCGTTTTCCCCAGCAGTCATTTGAGGCACATTTTTCTCACAAATGGGAAACTCCTTTTTGCAATACCTCAATTTTTCCACGTTGTGAAAAGTAGCTTTTATACTTTTGTTACCGAGAGATCTGCATATATGGGAAACTTCATTTAAACAAAATGCTTTTAATATATATATATATAAATCTATAAATATATATATATAAATATATAATTTTAAATTCTGCTTTTTATACATTTCAGTGCTGAGGAATCTCTCTCTCAAACTCTAAGCATCGTGTTGCAGTAACTTCAGCGCTCTGGAAGACAGATTGAAAGTGTAATGCTAAAGGTCTTATAAAGTAGCTGTTTCTGTCTTCAAACTGAAAAAGAAAATATATTGAAACTTACAGCATGGCGAGAATAAGTTGTCAGGCTGTTATTAATATTTCTAAATGCGCACTCAACACCCTGCTCTGCTAGATGGGGATAAAAGGAAACATCTCTCTGAGTTTGGGTAGCTTAAATATAATGACGACATTACCAATATGAATAATACTAATCTGGGTGAAGTTAGGTCTTGTATCACGAGAATGGATGTTAGGTGTTTAAATATTTTAACATTTAAGATGTATATCCTCGGGCTGCCAACTAGGTCCTGTTGTAATCCTTAGCATGCATGGCGTAAGATGAAATGAAACCAATACAGGAAATAGCTTTTGAAATTACTTGTTGTGATTGTGCTCCAGATGTGGTTGGATCCTATTGATTTATCGTCCGCTCCCACATGACTTCCCCACCCCGTGTGTTACTCTCTGCCTTCTCCTTATACACGCCTCTGCAAGATGCACAGATGAAAAGAAAAACAGGTTGGAAAGACTTGATCACACGCCCCCTTTGTGCTGAGACACTGAAGGGCACTTTAAGACTTGAATGTGGTAAATGTTGCAAGTTAACTTCAAGTTGTTATATGTGCAATACTTTTTTTGAGATTTTCAGATACAAAAAAAATCTTTGCAATGTAATTCCTTAATGCCATTTTTAATTGCAGACATTTAAAGAAGATGTTAATGTTTTTCACGGTCATTTTCTACTGTTATTGTAATCCTTTTCATGCTGGTGTTTGTAAAAAAAAAAAAAAAAAAAGAAATCAAACTATTTGTACTAATATAAAAAATTTGAAGTTATTTTTAAAACATTGAAAGTTTTGTGCTCATTTGCTTACTTTATTTCAAGCTACTGTGATTGATAGCATTGTAATTAAGTCAATAATGTATTTAGCAGTTTACTGGTATATTTTTAATTGGAATGTATGGAATGATTAATTTTTATAATTTGATCAGATTTTTGTTATATTTTTGAGGTGAGGCTTTTAATATGTTATAGTGTCTAGTTTTTACTAATTGCTATATTGTGCTCCACGATGTATGGTTCACACTTTCAGAAGAAAAAATGTCTGTTTAATGATGTTACCTAATGGCAAAATTCAATAGTTTTTAACTGTGTATGGGAAGGTTGTTGTATTTATTAATAGAATTTTTTACTTAAGATATCACCTTAATTTTTAATATGTCATTTCACATGAGTTCCTATTTTTGTATTTTTCTTTCTAATTAAGTTATGTAATACAAATGTCCATATTTCTAGTTGGTCTGTAGAAGTTCTAGTGACCCAAAAGAAATCTAATATTATTTAATTGTTTGCAGCCAACTATTTATAACAGTATGCTTAATTTTTAAATATTTGTAATGTGAAATGTTGAATGAATAAACCATAACTGTGAGAAGCCATTCCTTGGGGACTTCCTGTCCGGTCCATGCTGCATTCACACCGCGTTTCTGTGCCCCGTTCCCGCACCGCTGCTCTGTGCCCCGTTCCCGCACCGCTGCTCTGTGCCCCGTTCCCGCACCGCGGTTCTGTGCCCCGCGGCTCTGTGCCCCGTTCCCGCACCGCGGCACTGTGCCCCGTTCCCGCACCGCGGCTCTGTGCCCCGCGGCTCTGTGCCCCGTCCCCGCACCGCGGCTCTGTGCCCCGTCCCCGCACCGCGGCTCTGTGCCCCGTNCCGCGGCTCTGTGCCCCGTCCCCGCACCGCGGCTCTGTGCCCCGTCCCCGCACCGCGGCTCTGTGCCCCGTTCCCGCACCGCTGCTCTGTGCCCCGTTCCCGCACCGCGGTTCTGTGCCCCGCGGCTCTGTGCCCCGTTCCCGCACCGCGGTTCTGTGCCCCGCGGCTCTGTGCCCCGTTCCCGCACCGCTGCTCTGTGCCCCGTTCCCGCACCATGGTTCTGTGCCCCGCGGCTCTGTACCCCGTTCCCGCACCACGGTTCTGTGCCCCGCGGCTCTGTGCCCCGTTCCCGCACCGCGGTTCTGTGCCCCGCGGCTCTGTGCCCCGTTCCCGCACCGCGGCTCTGTGCCCCGCACCACTGTGCCCCGTTCCCGCACCGCGGCTCTGTGCCCCGTTCCCGCACCGCGGCTCTGTGCCCCGTTCCCGCACCGCGGTTCTGTGCCCCGTTCCCGCACCGCGGTTCTGTGCCCCGTTCCCGCACCGCGGCTCTGTGCCCCGCACTGCTGTGCCCTGTTCTCACATTGCGTTCCCACACAGGTCTGCCGCTGTCCCTCCCACATGCCTCGAGGGCCCCGGTGGCGCTTTTGTGTCTCCCTTTGATTTGGAGACCAGCACTGAGGCCTAGCAGCTTGACCTTGTACCATCATGTGACTAGTCATGTGATCATTTTCTCCTTGTCTCTTCCAGCTCAAAGTCCTTCACTGTCCACCTTTAGCTTCCCTGCATCCAAAATATATTTCTTGTGTCTAATCCTAGATGTCTGTCTACCCCGCTACCTGGTTAGTGTCACCATAATGGGAAATTGGCATGAGAAAAATATACATTTACCTTTATAATTTACACCATACTGGAAAATTAATGGCCATTGGGTTTGCCCTTGGATGTATCAAAATATACTAAATCACTCTTGCAAAATCTGCATTAAAAATGTTTTTGGGCTGAATAATCTGACTGCCTTATGTTTAAATGAGTACAATCTATTCTTTTGAAAGACTGGACCATGATTACATGACTGTTCTGCTACAGGAAACGGTAATGGTCCCTGATGAAAAGCTCAGGTGACAACATCCATTTTAGCTGTGGAAAACAGGTTCTGCTGAGAAAGACCCCCCCCCCCTTCAAGAGCTGGGAGACAGGTTGGGGAAAGATGCAGTACTGGTGGCAATTACAGGTTTGACAGGTGACACCTGTGATGGTGCATTTTCCTGCGCAAGTGTAGGATAGAAGCATTATAATCTACTTACAACATCAAAATAATTCTCATCTACTTTTACTTTGAATGAAAAGGCTAAATATATCGCACAGATACATAACAGGATAGCTGAAACCGATAACATCCTGGCACAACTGATATTGTGGTTATTTCTGAACGCTTCCACTTCACTGCCATTCACTTGACCACGGTCTGCATGAAAATATAAAACTGTGACACAGGCTCCCTCTTGTGGCAACATTGTGAAAGCGACACCGCTGCTGTTTTTTACGCGTTATTTCGAACTAGATAACCTGTAGTAATTCCCTAGAATCATTAATTATAGCGAAGTTCATCTTATGATAAATGCAGCACAGGGTCAAGAGAAAATGGTACATACAATTACATTGGCGAATATAATACCTAATAACTGACAAAACATGGAAAATAAATATGGACGGTGCATATAATGTGTAAATGTGAATGCACTGCTGTCACTGTGTTAAATGTCATTATTGCTCCCTGGGGAAAGGGCAGACAGTGGGAAGAGGAGGTGGAAGAGGAAGAGCAGGCGCTATACAGTCTGATGACAGCAGGCTGTAAAGATTCCTGTTACGGCTTCTGTGGTGGAATAGGCCGGTGGCTATGGGGTACAGCGTTGTGTAGAGGGTGTGCAGTATGATAATGCTGAGCTTAAGATTTACCAGCGGCCTCCCGTGACAATGAGTCCAGTTTGAGTCCGATCATAGAGCTCGCTTTCTTTGAAAATGCATGGAATTACCAGAGCTGGATTTGCTCCCCCTGGTGGCCGCAGTGTTGAAGAACATGCTGGTCGCCCCAGAACTGTAGGAACATTTCAGAGGGCACGCTGGTCATGCTTAAGAGACTGACATGTACTTGAAACTCAGACAGATAATGAAAGGGCTTTCGCACACAGAAGGTAAATTAATCACGTGATAAAATCAATTCTCAGCCACACCCTAATGAATGTGAGATGTAAATACTGATATCACAGGAGACGGAGGCGAAGCATCGCAGTATGGATGGTGCCCAGTGTGATGTTGCCGACCTTCTAGTGAGGTCTTTCGCCCACCATACAATATGGCGACTCCCAATCATCTAAAAGGGGAACCTGAAAGTATGAAAAAATGACCGTCTAATAACTAGGGCAGTTTTGTGACCAGCGGCTACCTGGGACATGTAGTGTTGGTCATATTCCGTTTGGCTCGCTAGGCAGCCCTCTCCGCCGGCGCCCCCCGGCGGATACTAGCTGGTTAAGCCGGCACCCATGTTTCCTCTCGGGCTGACAGGCGCCGTGTGACGGTTCAGCTAAACCTTCGCGCGAGCCTTGGGTTCCCGTGGTAACCGGCGTCGTGCCGCGAGCTTTACGTGCTAAACGCTGTTAAAACTAGCAAAAGGACAGCATGTCCGGGGAAGAGGCAAAGGCCGTGGGCGTCCCTCAATTTGGGCGTCTAAGACCGAAAAATAATACGTGGGGAAAGGAGAAGTGCGTTACGCCGAGAAATGACTCAGGAGAAGGAACTGCCGTCCGAAGCCAGGCGAGAGTCTTCAAGCAGCCGGCGAGACGGTGGCGAAGTGATACCGCCGGTACACGTAAGACGGTCATGGCGGCAAAGTAACACAGTAACAGCGCCGACACACGTAACGGTCACGGCCCAAAGTAGCACAGTAACAGCGCCGACACACGTAACGGTCACGGCCCAAAGTAACACCGTAACAGCGCCGACGCACGTAACGGTCACGGCTCCCACAGAGCGCCTAGTTTGAGTCCGATTGAACGTATACATCCCGGAGTAAATCGACTCCCAATCACATTATCTAGGCATCTTAGTCCGACTTTGAGAAATTTGATTTAGTACAATTTCAGTCGGACTAACATGTTTACATGTACTTTAAAAGCAGTGCCACCAATTTTGGCCAGCTGACTGGCGTGAGAGTTTCAATTCGAGACAAGTTTGCACACATTTAAATGTATGTTACAGTTGTATTAGCTTGTAAATAGTATGTAAGCTTTGCAAACTACCCCAGCGCTTTTGATGCAGCAAATTTTAGTTTTATAATTGAATAATATAAATTTCCCGTAAGGTTCCTTGCGTGAGTGTGAGAGTCTGAAAGCGTGAGTGTCACGCCAGATGCGTGGGAGTTGGCAACCTTGTTAAAAGTCTTGTTTTACGTGGACCAACACAATAGTTTGATTTTCTTAGTGTGCATTTAAACGTAGCCTACTGACAGAAAACGACATTTTCACCAATTTGCATCAAACAGGCTTTGGTCATTCAACGTCTTTGGAGAATTTCCTTGGGGAATAGTGAACGAACCTCTCTGAACTTAAATAAGCTGTCCTGTGACCAAACCCAGCCTTCCAACTATTCGTCAGGGTCAGTTATATATCAGTATAATCAGTAATATTTCTTTTTTTGTGATTTGCTTCTAGGGAGCCACAGCAAGTTGGATGGGGATGTTTTTGATTTTCCATCCTCTGGCAAGCCTTCCAAGATGGTATGCCCAAAGAAATCTTAATTATGTACACAATATTTGAAAAAAATAAAATAACTATATTATTCTTGTGATTATGGCCAGAACAGCTGAATCCCAAAAGATTCACTTGCACTTATTTTATTCTTTTTTGATATAGTTATTTTAGTACGTATAAAGAATTTCTCTGGTTTTGTGTCTTTGCTGCCAGTCTTCTGTAGAGCAAGATGTTCTGAGGACCATGTCTAAGATGTTTCTGGAAAACAGGAGGATTAGGAAGAGGCTTTCTCAGTTCCATGTGGACTGCGCCGAGAGTAATGGGGGGCAGGCTGTCCTCCTGCCCCGGCCTGTGAAGATGGGTCCGCTACAGTAAATGACACGCATCACAGCCACCTAAATCTGCTCGCCACGCAGGCCAGAGAGAAAAGGTGTTGCCAGTTTGGGATGTTTAATGGTTGTTGATTTATTGTTCGGGACTTGCAAAGCAAATCCATTTTTCAGTGATTTGTTGGAGGGAGTGTATAGAGTTGGTGCTGCTGTTCCACCAACACTTGGGGTTTTTATGGTTCTATGCCCCCCCTATTTGAGAATACACTTGTTTACTGTAGGCACAGAAATGCCTGTTCTTCAGTGGAATGTAGCAGGCCCCTCCATGGTTATCCTTGGGACAGATAAAGGGTATAGCCTCAAAGATCCAGGTCCTATTAGTTGTATCCTTAATTTTTTAAAATTTTGAATAAATTTGTAAGTTTGATCATTTCAAAAGACTAAGAACCCATTAAAACCTTGCTACCATTACAGATGTGGTGATCTAATGTGTAACCTTTGAGGAGAGCGGTGATCTTTTATCGGCCCCGAAGAGTGGTCAGATGTGCTGTGAGAGGGCCACATGGTGCCTCGGTCTTCACTGTTACGTAGCAAAGTCTCATAATATGTAAAAGATGTCATTTTAGTCCAAACTATGCATTTAATTGATTGCTGAATGCTGAGTTGCAGTGACAGTCCTCAGAACAGGTCGGCCTCTTGGAATCATTACTTTTTCCTCATTGTAAAATAAGGGATTAAACAGATAACCCTACATTTTATAGCCATGCTTTCTGTCCTGGGTGATACATGTGTATCCTGATGTTTTGCATTTTTTTACGAATTGGTATGTAAAATACTTGCACTTATTTAGACTAGAAGATGGTTAGTTTCGCAAAATGTATTTGATTTCATTTTCCATTTCATGTTGAAAATTTTCATGTTGTAAGTCTCGGTTTTATGCTGGCAGTAGGTATAAAGTTAAAAAGAAATAAATTATATAAAATGAATTTTGCTTGCAGCGTCTTTGAAAAATGCATTTAAAACCCATGGCACAATTTTGTGGACAAATCATCGACACACTGTTGTGAACTGGTGACGTATAAGGCTCTGCATGGTCCATGTGCAAGCAGCGATACTTTCCGTCGGCAGATGGCGACCCTGAGACAAACTGTGCACTGGCCATAGATCCAGTATTAAGATAAGCGCACGTCGCACCTGTAATATAAGTAATGAATGAAACTCCACATGGACTTGCGAAAAACACCGAAGAAGTTCGCTAGGGTGTATATCCTAACCTGCAACTGTCACTGCAACATTTCCTGAGACTATCATTATTTTACTGAATTTTTATTTATATTGCAGGTGCATTTTAACATATATCGTATTAGTATTCCTATGAACTTATGAAATGTACTTAATTGAACAGTCATGTCCTGAAAAGCTGTTTCAATCCTATGCATAAATACGACCTCCGCGTATCTTGTAATAAATCTTTTTTTGAAGATTGCAATCAGCCGCAACTAAGAGATGAAACAAAAAAGATTTTCTGTAAATCGCCCCTAGTGGCGCAAGACTACGAGGTGGCGGCTTGAGTGGCGCTGTCTGTTCCTGCAGCACCCTGCTGCCAGGCTCCAGCCTCCCTCACTCTCTCCATCCCTCCCTCTCTTCCTCCCTCCCTCATCAGCACCACGGTCGCTGTCCGATCTGCTCCTCTGCCCTGCCGCAGCTAGCCTGTCCGCTCCGGCTCCGCTGCTCCTATTGCACACAATACACGAATTTACAGCAAAGCAGCACGCATATCGGCTTCATCTCGGTGAGTACGATCTCAATCTGTTCGCATTTTCCATCCACAGAAATGTGCAATGTGTTCCTGTGTTTTGACCGGGAAACGTGCAGCGTAAAGTAGTCGTGTGCATTTATTTTCTGGCATGTCAGGTACATTTATTTTTTAACTTTGCGTAACTTAATTATTATTATTATTATTATTATTATTATTGTTGTTGTTGTTGTTGTTATTGTTATTGTCGTTGTTGTTATGTTCGTGAAATGGTATGATTTCGGCCAAGGCCTCGTTGAAGAACAGCCTACTACATTGAAAGTTGGGAGCTACATGGTCTGTAAAAAGACTAGAAGCAAACACCCACGCCAGGTGGGATTTGAGTGACGGGAAACAAGTTATTTCATTTTCACTTGTGTTTTGATGCACTTGTCTGGCAATTTCTAAAATTTCTCAATAGATCGTATTGATGCAATAGAATACTTCCATTTTAGGACTCGAGGACAATTTGCTTTAAGGATGGTAAAGCTGGGAAGTAATTTGCAGGACAAAGACAGCAAGCCAACTGGTGCGGAGGATGGTTTTAAAAACGTGCCTCTCATCACACCTCTAGACGTCAACCATCTCCAGTACGCGGCTCCCGACGAAGTAAGAAAATTTGTCCTTTTCTACAACTTTGAAATAGTTGCTAGTGATCATTGCCGTGAATTATATCTGCACACGGGATCTGTTTCTCTGACATGAAAGAGATAATTCAAGTAAAATTCCCCACGAAAAGACACTATAAAACACTCACTTTTAAATGATATGTTTAGACTCCGAGTAATTGAATTATTTTCGCATTTGTTTTTCACTCTACTGAAATTGTACTGAAAGTGTGGCATTGATAAATAGGCTAGAAGACGGTATTATCTCTCCGTTTTCTAATGCTTATATCAGGTATTTTAGGCAAATATATTCGCAAAGAACAATGTGTGCATCACGTGATACATTCACGTTATTTTTTGGGAGTCACATTTATTAGCAAACGCGTAGCAGCTGGAACGAGCCGTCAGGCTCCCGCTATAACATCCGCACCCCTCTAAAGAGGCTGGAGGCGTATCACAGTCTAACTTTATTCATTTGTTACAAAAATAACCGTAGATTTGCTGATTTTCACAACTCAAAAATTCAAGAGATCTAAATGTCATGTGAGAAAAATTAGAAGAAAGAGCAAGAGGTATATATTAAAGCATGCCCTGCTCTGTTTACTGTGATACAAGCAGTAGACTCATCAGGATGCAACACTTAACCATCACTGAAAGCAGTGAATTATATACAGCAGCTGTAGTTTCATAGAAGCCAGCTGGGCTCTGCTGCTGCTTGAGACAGACTGACTGCATAAAGCTTTGTCTTTATACTTTGGATACTTTCTCTGTATTGTTAATTCTGGTATATTATACTGAAATTAAGCTTTGCAGCTTAAAGGAAAGAATTCATGTATGGTTAGCATGATGAAGAGACGCGTTTGTGTTTTGGAGGGACAGACACGTCCCCGACTCCCAAGGACTGCAGTCAGGGTTAGGATGTGTTTGTGCTCTTCAGACTGAAGCCTCCATCGGCCCCCTTCATCACGGCGGGCTGTGGGGCTCACTGTCCTATGAATGGTGGCACGCACGCCATTACCACAGTGACTCAGAGGATCATGGGAGATTTCACGTTAACCCTTCTGTTACATTTAGCCGGTGCCCCCTTCAGTCGAGGGTTTCCAGTGACTCTGAGCCAGTGCTCCCTCCCCCTGCGTTTGATGAGATGTGCACTGGAACATAACAGGCGCCGTAAAAGATGATTAATTATCTCATGAAATCAGAGCATTGCTTTTTTTTTCACTTCTCCGGATACCTCTGGTGCTAATGGGTCATGTTCATTGTATGAATTACACTATAAAGGGCAATCTCATTCAAAGTCACATTGGATCAACAGTCACATTTCATCCTTGAATGTTCAGTTACCTTGACAACACAATATGAGGGCCTTTTTTCCACCTAAGCCATTTTTGCACTATAGTCACATTTATTAACACAGACTTGTAGCTGCAAACCGAAGGGCAACACTTAATAAAGAAAATTAAAACAGGCCACGAGCAGCTGACAGCTTAATGATGGAATATATACATCAGTCTTTGGGGATCTCGCTGTGTTACATCTAGTCCAAAACACTGTAGACCTTGTGCCGTGTGTTTGTGACCTAACAGAACTCCCCGTAAGCCCCCTGTCAACAGCGTGTGTCTGCTGCCTTTCTCTGTCCTTTAATGTCCTCGTAACCTGGGTCCATCTGCAAGCATTTACCAGAAATGCCATTCTTTATAACGAATAACTTTTCCATCTGACACTCCTACCATAACAAAACATACGTTTGCATTTATTTATATTCAGAAATAACTGCAGAGTAATGTGTCCTGCAGACTATCAACATAGGCAGAAATCTAGGTGTCAAATGCTTTAACTACAGCTGTCAGTTGGAGGATGATGCAGGCCTTGGTGAGATGGCTAAAGGAAGGACAGAAGTGGAGAGAATGCTGTTGGTTCAGGTCAAGCCTGCAGCTGCTGTGCTGATGCTGTTGGGTTCATACTGGCATAAAACAGAATAAAAATCTGTCATTTTCAAGGTGGAGCAGGAGGTGAAGAAGCAGCAAGTACATTTAATTTGCATGGATTAGAAGGATCATAGGCAGATGATCGCGGCCACTTGCGGCTTGGGTTGCGATGTTACAGAGCGCATCCAACAGGCCGCGGGATGTTACTGCGGCACAGTGATTTACAGGTGTGCTGCTGGATCAGAGGCCACAGGCTACAGAGACAGTAACCATTTAATAAACACGGACTCTGATTCATCATCGCCTCTGATCGTTACACTGGAGTGATGGTGCTCTCACTTTGAAGAGTGTATCGGGATTCCTAATGATGTTAAGAGATTGATATATTGGTGAGTGTATAATAATGATCAAAAAGTTAATGTGGAGTCCTTGCCATTTGCAGCATTGCAGAGCTATAACACAGACATTTTTCAAAATTTGTTTTTAAATTGGATATAGCACTGTAAAGTGGACAAGCTTTGATAAAAATTTAAATAACTTAGGTACTATGCTTTCACACTTAACACAAGCCTGTCAGCTTCATATCAATACATCAAGTGAATTTTAAATGAACTAGTATTTGAAGAGACACTTCAGACCTTTATAAATATCTCTGAGGCATCATTAGGTTGTTGCTGACAAGTTAATGGATGGTCTTTATTACAGTACTTTTTCCAAACGTAGGTAAAGCAAATATCATGGCATATATAGTCATTTGGAAAAAAAATAGATATGTGATCATTGAATAGTGCCCTGGATGATTGCAGTCAGCTGATTAGAATAAGGTGCAGTATTGTTAAACACTGGTGTCCACACATGGACCTCTCCTGATTGGCAGGTAGTGGTGAAGACCCGAACTGAATATCAGACTGAGCAGAAGAACAAGGGCAAGATGAAGGCTCCGAAGGTGGAAGAGTTCACCATCAGCTTCAACGAAGGCGTGTCAGAAAGACTCAAGGTGAAATCTTACTCGCAACCTGTTACCATGGGTCAGTTCCGCAGTGCCCCGTAATATTTACTGCATGCACACTCCTCCAGTGGTAATCAGCAGAACCAACTGTCTTATGTCATAAACACATAACTTGGTTTCACAGTTCAATAATGAGTCAGAATCTTCATGAACACCCACATATCCTCATATTTACATTTAAATTTACAGCATTTAGCAGCCACCTATTCCAGAGCGGCTTCCATTTTTCTAAATTCAGGGATAGTCCCCCTGGAGCAAGAGATATGATATATGATATCTCTCTGTACATCAGACACATAATATTACCAGTGATATCTCTCTGTACTATCACACACGTAATATTACCAGTGATATCTCTCTACTATCACACACACAATATTACCAGTGAAGTCTCTCTGTACTATCACACACATAATATTACCAGTGATATCTCTCTGTACTATCACACACATGATATTACCAGTGATATCTCTCTGTACTATCACACACATGATATTACCAGTGATATCTCTCTGTACATCAGACACACACCATATTACCAGTGATATCTCTCTGTACATCAGACACATAATATTACCAGTGATATCTCTCTGTACTATCACACACACCATATTACCAGTGATATCTCTCTGTACTATCACACACATAATATTACTAGTTATATCTCTCTGTACTATCACACACATGATATTACCAGTGATATCTTTCCATACTATCACACGCAAATGGACCTTTTCTAGCAACACAAGAAAACCAAAATCTCGGCATGAAACCAAACCATGCTGAAATGCATATCAGTCCCCAAATTTTTGACTGGCTTATGATTTTCTGTTCTAGTCCAATTTGGCAGTCATTTCTCAGTCATTTCTCAGTAATTTCTTTCTGTTTGTGGCTTTCCTAGAAGGACTTGGAAAAAAATACTGGTGCTTCCACAGAATCTGCCCTTTAACACACTCCTTCAGGGATGGAGGGAATAGTTTTCAGATGAAGTTACCATGGCAGCAGAACTGGCTTTCGGTTGCAGGAAGTATGTGCAATGTCAGTGTCTATAAATATGTCAAGCAGCACTCTGCCTGTGCGCTGGGGCTGGGTTGTGGGATTTCTTACCTGCTGAGCAGTGAACCAAAGTCATGCCTAAAATGGATTTTTTTTCAGCATTTCATATCTTCATCTCAAAAGTAAATGTGAAAACCTTCTGGATTATTAATGTAAACACAATACCTGCAAAGGAAACTAGAATTTTTCAAACATTAATGAGATATCAGTAGGAATTTGGAATGTAAATACCTTTTCCGGGAGGTTTCTCTGAGGAATGATCTGGAAGGAGCTGTTGAACAAAGGAGTGAAAAAAACTGGATTAGTAGCTCAGACACAGGAAGAGCCCATTCCAGATATGCCGGAGTGAGATGTCAGACTCGAGGCTGAGCACGCCGACGCCTTTCACCACCAACCCCTGCTTTTACCTCGGAAATCCAAGAGCAGGAGCCTACAGCCGAGGAAGTATTTACCAGGTCAATTACGGCGAGGCTCTGGCCAGTTCTCCCCAGTATTTAAACTGCATTTCTCTTTGGTCACGGAGACCCTGGAGAAATGATCCTCCCCGTGCGCCTGAGTGAGTGTAAAGCCCCACGAACCGTCACAGTAAACTGACCCCTCGCTTTCCCCACCATTTTTCATAGCTGGTGACCACTCTAGTTCATTTTAGCTGCAAACTTCTCTTATTCCAGTCTTGGGTGGAGTCCAGAGTCAACATGTCTGCAAATATTCAAACTGAGGAATGTTGTCTTCCCTGAATAGATCTCACTAAACTGCGTGGTGGTCTCCGGGTACATGTTTCCGACCACGGTAACAGATTATGGTCTCCTGTACACAGGAAGCCACAGTTTTGGAGGACGGGGGGCGTCGGAAAGCCACCTGACACACAGCTTGCCAATGCAGCTTTCTGGCATTTCTATCTGGAGGGCGGCCATGTTACGCGTTCGGGACGTGCCTGTTAAAAGCAGTCATCCTATAATTATGTTAGGCTTTACACAAGCCTAAATTAAACACCAGGGCTGGATCCTGGCCCACTCAGCTTCACTATGCCCCATTTAAGAGATGTGCCCTATGAAGTTGGATGAAGGAATTTTGTGCCAGCTAGCATATGAACCAGCTATGAAGATCTGACATATTGCAGATCTATTGGATCCTTTAGTAGACCTGGGCTTCCATGAACCATGTGTTTGAAATGGATGTGGGCACCTGGAGAGGTGGGTTTGGAGCAGAGCTCCCAGAGCAGGAGTGCTGTGGACGCAGCGGGATTCGCTGGTGTCCACATGGGCAGTCATGCGGGCTGTTCTGCCAACCTTCTCCAAGCATCACCTTCAGGATGAGGAAGTAGGGAAGCGCAACTGAGCTCTGAAAAGAAAAGTGAAAGGCGGGGGTGCAGGGGCGCAGGATCGGGGGGTGGGGGGGTGGTTGGATCGTGCAAGTGGGTGAGATGTTTGAATTTTTAATAATCCCCTGCTTTGTTTTCAACATGCATATTTTATACATCATCCATTTCCTGCTTGCCTGCCTCTGTCTCAGCACTGAGCGGTACAGTTATCGGGGCAGAGCAGATCGACAGCGTGAAGGCTGCCCCCACCTAGCCGCCCCCTCCCTGACACGTCGCACTTACCCCAGAGCTGTGTGTGTGAAAATGAGATTTAAGTAAGAAGGACATTTCTGTTTATTTTCGGCTTTCTGCTCTTACATAAGCGGTGTGTAGCTCTGTTGGTTAGGGCTGTGTTCAGAAGGTCATCGGGTCCAGTTTCAGGGCTAGCAGATTGCTGTCGCCGCTGGGCCCCTGAGCGAGGCCCCCAGCTCCAGGGCACTGAACGCTGGCTGACCCTGCACTGTGACCCCCAAGCTCAGTCTCATCTGTACGTGTGCCTCAGAAAAGAAGACAATATCCCCACGGGGATAAATAACGTATCAGTGGCCTGTTATCCGGAGTATGCTGTGTTTTTGTGCATCAGAACCACTCTGTGGTGCTCTGAGTGTTAATATCATAAGAGAGTGTGGGAATGTGTGTGATTTGGCCAATGCACCACACACCTAAGGTGATGAAAAGCAAGAGAGCTTGTTCTGCTTTTGTTGAGGGAAGGTAGTAATTACAGAGGAACAGATTTATAGTTTCCCCGTGACATCACACCCTTACAGCAGCACCGAGCTGGAGGCCGTAACAAGGCTCCACTGCCGACCATTACGTTTGTTTAGCCAAAATGCTGTGTAGTTGTTGTTCAGCTCAGTAACCGACGAGGAGACAAGCCTGGTTGTGCTTCTAAAAAATCCCATCTGAGAAAGAAAACCAGGAGAGGACATTGTGGATTCATGATATTTATTAAACGTGCCCTCATCACTGGGGAGGGAATGAAAAAATGGCAGTCATCGAAGGGGGCTTTCACACCAAAATTCAGGAACCTGATTCCTGGTTCTGAGTTCCTGATCTGTCTCGACTAGGAACTTTTGTAGCTCCTGGCCGCTTACATGTATCGCTTTTCCACCACGCAACAGGAACTAGGGCCTTCATGTTAAATAAGCATGAGGGACACAAAAAACTAGTACGTTAAACTTAGGGTGAGCAGATAATCCACGTCAGGGAGGACACTTTGAGCTACTTCAGGTTTTACAAACTGCTTTAAACATCAAAGGCTATTGTGCTTCGCTAAATAGTTCAGTTCTTCTTGTGCTTCGACTGGTTTGTTTCCTTGATTGAAAGAATCCAGCTGTTTCACAATAAAATTAGTGACACATGCATGATTATCGGAGACTGACCAATCAGCACACAGCAAAAACTCAAGGCTTAAGTGAAATGCAGGTCCTTTTCATTGAAATAGTAGCTTTCAAATCATGTGCCAGGTCAAAGTGTCCCCCCCCTGACATGGATCTCCTGGGATGTATCTGAATTCAGGGGCTGCATCCTTTGAAGGATGTGGTCTGTGTAGCCTCTGTAGACCACATCCTTCGAAGGTTCACGCAATGAATCTTTGGGATCTCAGCAAAATAATGCATTTCTAGGCTGTATTTGGAGGAGCCTTTGAAGTGGGACGACCTTGTCATGTCGCTGTGACCCATTTGGTCTTCAAATGCTGCTTTAGAAGGATGCAGCCCCTGAATTTGGACACAACCCTGCTCACCCTATTAAGCTTCACACACAATATCATACGAAATGACCCCAAAACAATGGAGGATGAACAAGTTGTTTTCTTAGTTATTGGTGGGGGGGGGGGGGGGCAATCAAAATGGGACACGTCCTTATATTTGTATTTTATTTATATGACTGGTGATGTTTACAGTCCATTATGAAATCTGGCCATCAGATCGATCTTTTGCATTCCGCAGAATAAAGAACAATGTAACGTTATCCTGCTAATAAGCGCTGGTGAGCTTCGCCGCCGGTACCGGGGACGGTAGACAAAAGTACATCAGCTATCAATCAGATTTTCCAATGCAGAGATATGGAGAGGCAAGCAAAAAAGGTATATATATATATTCATTAATGCATTAAATGTAATCTGTGGGGTGTAAATGGACATAAAGTTATCTGTACTCTCGTAAGCTTTCATCCTGGCAGCAGTAAGGGGAGAGATCGTCCCCAAGAGGCAGGGAGTCCTCACCAAAGAGGAGCGGTCCGGGACGGCGGCTTTTACCGCTGATGTACCGCGGCGGCTGCTGCATAGGGATCGCAAGGACCCAGAACCTGCAGTTTGTTCTTATATCTGTATTTTTTCTGCTGATAAATGATGAATATTTGTTGCTTGGAACAGATAGCAAATGAAGCGACCTGTGCTGCAGGTCCAGTGTCCAGTGTTGTCTGCCATGCTGGGAGGGTTTTTGCCCCCCCCCAAGTCTCCAAGATGGTCACCTGACTGGCAGCTATGAATAGGGACTGAGGTTCAAAATGCTTCTATCCAAGATGGCCTGCAGCTGAAAGTGACTCCTACCTTATTACTTCGCAGTCGGTC